CCCCCTCTCACTGTGCTGTCCTCCCCTTACACTAGCTGTCACCATGCTGATTTAAACTCATGAGAAGAGCAGAACAAATTGCTTTTCTTCCCTGGGTTATTTTTCTGCGATTTATCTGAGCCAAATTGATCTGTTGTGCATTGGACAAGACAGCAGGAGAGACAGGTACATGTGGCCAGAAGTGGGGAACAAATTTCATTCCTAGGATTTCAGTCACACTCAGTCTTTCACTCTGAAAATTACTCTGTTCCCTCATTGTCCAAAATATGGTCTGGTTATTTTTCTTCCTGTGTACCTCAGTCCTAAGTGCCTCTCTTTTGCTGTGAATGTCTTCCTGGTACTCCAAACACAGTCTGGTTCTTTGCTGTGTAGGAAGCAGAAGAGGGTAGAGTGCTTCCATCCATTTGCTGACTGATTGACTGACATGTTTCTGTGTGAAACATCCCTTCTGTGATGCTCTCTTCTATTATATTAGTGTACCTCTGTGTATACATGGATGTGGTGAATAAATGGATATAAGTCACTATTAGCTCTTGACAATGTTATTAACTGCATGGTGGTGTTAAATAATAACTACGATGTTATTTAGCCAGAGTGGTGACAGTGTGTTTGGTATAGTTGGGTTTTGTCTCTTCTTCCTGAGGCTATAGGAAGTAATTTTGTCCCTTTTTCTTTATCTTTTAACGTTTGCTCCTCAATTTGTGTGCAGGATGTCATGGAAATCTGCCAGCTGCTAAGAACATCTTTGACCTTCTCCCGGTGCCACCATCGAGTTGATCCAGAGCCATACATCAATCTCTGTGAAAAAGATATCTGTGCCTGTACCCAGGGCATAGACTGTCACTGCTCGGCCTTCCTGGATTACGCAAGAAGCTGTGCTCATGAAGGAGTGATTTTGGATGGGTGGCCTGAAGAAAGCTCATGCAGTAAGCTGACAGAATTATTCCTAGGCTGTTTAATCCAAATAAGATCATGCTTGTCTTGCAGATTTATGTCCTGCAGCTAAAAGCAACTGGTGCTTTTCTGGAGTGTTGGTTCAGGTTGATTCAGGCACAGCAGGTTAAAATCTGATGTGCCTGTCACTTCCATTTTTATGGAGTGCCTTTGCTTACTCCCTGTTTCAGCTCTCTATCACACACATTTTTCTAGAAGTTGTCCCTAAGGAGGGATTGTTTGAACCATATATGAAGAAGATCCTGAGCTGTTACATGTCCCAGCATGGTATGCAAAGTCAGTGAAGGCTTATTTGATACACAAAGGTATGGACTAGGATGCTTAGGAGCTATTTCACATGTGGTTTTGATGTGTGACATTATCCAGCCTGTACTTACAAGTCAGCATCTTTGTGAAAGGCTCTCTAACATTCTTTTCATAAAGACAATTGTTTCACCCTTTATTTGCTCAAACCAATTATATTGAAATTGAGATGTTGCCTTTTTTTAAGCCAGTTTTTGTCTAGGTTAGAGATCCTGATTGCATCTTGAATTCCTGCTTTTATTATCCCAGTTTTGCTGAGGTCAGAGGTTCTGATTGCATCTCTGCTGAGATTTTGCAACAAGGAAGTTCATAGACTGACTGGGATGGATTGTTTTTCTAGAGGAAAGGTCATGTTTGCACCTACTGCTGATATACACATATAGCTCCACTGGAGAACCCTGGTTTTATACATAGCATGCCAAAAAAAGTAATTAAAAATTAGTCTTCTAATATATTTTCAGTGACTTTTCTCATGTTTTCCATTACACAGAAAGTACAATTTTCTCAGGATGTTTATGTAAATTGATTTCATGGAGTAACTGATTGATTTGTACTGACAACACTTTCTTCTCTGGTAAAGATATTCTACTGTTGGCCACCACTGAAGAAAACTGTTGCTTTCAGATTATGCCTAGGGTGGGAAGAGACTGCCAACCACTTGTTCAAGGGGTTGTACACCACAGGAGAGTTTGAGCTGTAGCAGTAATTTGTTACCTTTCCTTTGGGGCATAAAAAGGATCTGAGAAAAACTCATCTCCTTGCTCAGGGTGCAAGCCAGATAATCCATTTTTGCTAGGGTTATTTGTAAGTCTGGCTAAAGCCACAAATCAAATGAACCCTTCTTTGATCCTAGGAGCTTTAGAGCTCATTTCTAACCCTTGAATTCACAAGCCACATTTTTTTTCTGAGTCAGGAAAAAGTGAAGTGGGCTGCTGCCACATCAGAAGCTTACTTTTCCATCACCCTGCATCTGTGCTATGATGCTTTCTCAGGAGATGATGATGATGATGTGTTGGAGGCATGAAAAGCTTCACTGCATGGGAAGGGCTCTAGTGCTGGGCACAGGGTATGAGTGTGAGCTGGTGCCTAATTGCGTGGGAAGGGCTCTAGTGCTGCGCGCAGGGTATGAGTGTGAGCTGGTGCCTAAACCCAGGACACCAAGGGCAAGACTGCTCCTTCGTTACCCTCCCACCTCCTTCAATAGAGGATTTGCTGGGAAAGGCCAGGGTCTAATCTTTTCTTCCCACTCCATGCCCACACAGTCTTCTAGGGCATGGTATATCTGTGCATCGAAATGAAGGAATGGATATAGTGTGTGCTTGCACAATGGCCTGGCCTAGATAATGACAGCAGTGAAGATACCAGAGCATGGGTGTTATGCTGTGCTGGCAGTTCTCTGGAAGTTGGAGGGTGGGATTTCAGAGTTTTAACTGTCTCCCAGTTCTCTCTGGAAACACAAAACAATATAATGTCACAAATGAGTGGAGTAACTGCATAACTTAAAGCTACACAACACCCTTGTCTATCCAAACTACTTAGATACTATTGCAAAACTTCTCCCTGTGTCTGAGTGTTCTTAATGCGCTTGGTTTTAGTTACTAAGACTCAATTTATTAGAAAACAACTTGACTTTAGCCTCTAAGTATTTACTGCACTACCTGATAGATGGTGATATTGCAGCAAACTGAAAATCAAATGTTTCTTAAAGGTTTTGCTTCTGAGAAAGAAATCATTGAATGGAGAGGATATGACCTTTTCTGTGTCTCTGTGGTTCAGCCTTTGATAACCGAGGGATTTATTTATTTAAGACTTATTGAGGAATTTGCATTTCTAATTTCTTTCAATTGTTTCAGGGCCAAGATGTCCAGTTGGCATGGAGTATAAGGAATGTGTATCCCCATGTGCCAAAACCTGCCAGAGCCTGAATATCAATGAAGTGTGTCATGGACAATGTGTTGATGGCTGCAGCTGCCCTGGTAATTTATTTACTGGGTTATTTACAGAGAAACATTTGGCAGTCATGCTACCTATTTTCTTGGAAGAAGGAAAGCTGTGTCTTCTCTTAAATTTTCTTGAAATCAGAAACACTTCTTTTTTCTGGGACCATGCCCTAGAATAAACCAGTTTCTGTGATGCCTGTATGCTCAGTCCATGAAAGGGCCATTTTTCAGAGCCAGCTAAAAAGTAAATGTTTCTGTGAAAATCAGAATCAACTAACACTTTAGTTAGTTAGCCTTCATTTCTTGGTGAGGGACCACTTACTGTTGAGGTATCTGGATTCCTTCTGAACTGCTTTGTAGAGTTTGCACTATGACTTCAAAGATGAACAATTTCATTAATAATTAAATCATTCATGCAGGAGATTTGTTTGGGTTAAAGGGGGAAGCCCAACTACCAAAGTCTTCCTCTTCTATCTGTTGTACTTCAAGCAACTGCAGGAGGAGAGTTCCTGGCTGCAAAGCTCCATATGCTTTTTGGTTGGATTTTGTTTGGCTGCTTTTGTTTATTAGGTTTTTGTTCATTTTGAATAGGACTATCTCAGATTTTCACCCTGTAAATTCTGGACTTTGTGCAAATGCACAGAGGTGTTTACTGTTCCCCTGTACGAGATGCCAAGTGCGATGGAGGTCTACAGAGACCATGATTTGGTTACCAAAACTAGGTAGGAATGACAATGTCAGCCTTGTTTGACAAGTCATTGCATTCAGAGCTTAGAGGTTTCCTATTTAGTTGCCAGTCACTTACTAGAGGTTCAAAGTTTTCACTCTGTGGCAGGTCCTGGGAAGGTGCACATGGAGGGTGACAGGTGATATAACCAGACTCAGGAGCTTATTTTGTTGTGAAGGGTCTAGCTGTTACATTTGTGCCATCTTGGGGGTGTTGGGAAAAGCTGAAGGAGATTAATCCACTGGCTGCATAAGGGCTCTCACTATATTCTTCCTTTGATAGCTGCAGTGGTCAGTTCAGCACAGGAAAGGTCTGAGGGGACATGAACCCAGGAGCAGACAATGAGGAGCTCCACAGAAAGGGTATATGAGATGCAAAACTAATTGATGGGTAGGAGGAACTGCATGAAAAGAAATAACAATCAGGAGTTCAAAACTTTTATTTGCTGCACAGTCAAAAGGAAAGAACCTTGATTTAATAGTAAACCATGAGGATCTGATGGATGATTAGAAAGATTTAGGATGAGAATTATTCTTTTGCTTAGCTTCCCTTTAGTGCTCCAAGAGTAAAAAGAATCTGAAGGATTTGTTCAACAAATGTCTTCTCCCTTTTCTTTTTTTTTTTCTCCCTTAAATGCTCCTCACAGTTACTTTAATTGCTGTAAATGGAATTACCATTGCCAGGAAAAAAGGCAGACGTTCTGTTTTCTTCTGCTCTCTGGAGAGCCACACCACTCTTAAATGCTCAGATCTTGTTTTGTATATCTCTCAGTGGAATGATTTTCTCAACTGTCAAGGTCTTTCCAGGATGCTCTATGGGAAGAATGGTAGAAAGGGAGACTTACCTGTGTCTCACTGTCAATGATGACTGCTGCTGCCAGGGGAAAAAAGCCAAAGTCTCTGCAGGTGGTGGGAAGGAGTTCTTCGAAGAGAAGGGAGAGGGGTTTTCATGAAACAAAATGTTTTGCTACAGCAGCTGTTTTAAAAACAGGAATATCAATTATCTCTCAACACAGAGAACAAAGAGAAAGAAACTTGTCCTTTCTTCTATTGCTAGCTTATAGTGCTGTCTTAGACAAGTCTTGTACCTCTATTTATCTTTGTAGGATAAAATGATCTATATATAGAATAGGTAATTATAGTTGTGTAATATGGAAACCTCAGCAGTTGGATCCAGGTAAGGAAGTTGGCCCTCTTGCTTTTTGCTTCTGCAGAAGCTGAGAAGAGAATTCACAGCTCCATTTGATAATGTTTCTTTCTCTCAGACCCTCCCTGCTAGACTTACTTGGTGTCCAAATTTGTCTCTTCATTCTCTGCTTTGCCTCCTCTTAAGTCCTCTTATGATTAATACAAAACCTGCCCGGACACCTCTTACTGCAGTCAGTGAAGTGCAGTTTTTCCAACAGTCAGGTTCTAGACCAGCTCTGATCATGCTCCTCATGTTTGTTTCATGTATGTTCCAGTGTGTGTGTTTCGGACCTGGGGACTTGCTAAGCAAAGAGCTTTTCTGGGAGCACCAGAAATGCTTCGTTCAGCATGTCTGAGGGAGAGGCAGCAGTAGAAGGAGAGTAGACACCAGCCCGTGAGGCTTTTTGGCAAGCCTCGTTCATTTTTATTGCTGTTGGTGACTAAGTGTGGATGATAATGCATATAAAGTCTTGCCAAAGTATATGAAGAACTAGCAAATGTAATTGTATTTGTGTTTCTGTCCCTGTGTGTGTGGTATGTGTATCTGATGCCACCCAACCTATCCAGAGGGGCTGCTTCTTGATGGTGAACACTGCATTGAAAGCTCTGACTGCTCCTGCATCCACTCTGGAAAACATTATCCTTCTGGCTTCACCATCTCCCAGGACTGCAACTCATGGTAAACTCTCTGTTGCTCTGGTATGGTTGCTATAGATAAATACTGCACTCTGGTCAGTGACTGTTTTGGATGATCTTTGTAGAAATGTCTTTCTCTCCTGTTTTAAAATTTCCTTTCACTGGCAAAGGACTTGCTCTTTTGTTGAAATTGCCAGCCCCTTCCAAGAAGTGAGCTGTTCACAAAGACAAAATCAGCTCTGCTTTTAAGGGGATATTTGATCTGATAGAACAATGTGAAGGTCATACTCCTTCAAACAGCAGAGAACTACCTGTTTCCTGTGGATAAGACAGGTCAGCAGGTTCCCATGTCTGGTTAGTGTCAGTGATGGTGTCTTTGTTTTAACTTCCTACATGTATTTAACCTCTAAACTACATTGCTTTCCAAGAGGAGTTAGCCTAGGGCATGTTCTTGGAACTTGTTACAAAGCTAATAAGTCTTCCCAGCTGCATGGCTCATAATTTTTCTTACACTCATGCATGCCAACCTGAAGGGGAAGGCTAGTAGTCTAAAGAAAGGAAGGGGAATGAGTAATGTATTCCTGATCTGGTTTTGTGTGTGTGGAAGGAGTTCGGACAACTCTGTGCTCAGATGTTTCCAATTGGAGTACAGAAGGAGGACGTGGTGAAGACCATGATGTGCAGAAGAAAGATGGTCTGTGGTTCATTCCTGTTAATCAGAAGTTTTTTTGTTAGCTGCATGACGTGTAACAATGTGAAACATAACCATATATGGTTCATCCCTGTTCATCAGAAGTTTTTTTGTTAGCTGCACGACGTGTAACAATGTGAAACATAACCATGACATTAGCATTTTATCTTTTCCCCTGGAACTCTCTGTAGCTTTGAGCTTGGCCACATTGTTCAGCCTTAGTGCTCTTGGGACATGAGTGCTGCCTGATGGACTGCTTTGTGAGAAAATGCTTCCTGTTATGGTTCATCCCTGTTCATCAGAAGTTTTTTTGTTAGCTGCACGACGTGTAACAATGTGAAACATAACCATGACATTAGCATTTTATCTTTTCCCCTGGAACTCTCTGTAGCTTTGAGCTTGGCCACATTGTTCAGCCTTAGTGCTCTTGGGACATGAGTGCTGCCTGATGGACTGCTTTGTGAGAAAATGCTTCCTGTTATTCAAACTTGATACTGCTGTTGAGAACGTCATTCCATCACACTGCATTTACTATCAGACTCCCAACAAACGGGTTTCAAGGGCTGGGCTAATTAAAGGAATGAGAAGAACATAATACCCTTTGAAACTTCATTGATTTTGGAGATTCTAGGATGGCCTGGCATGGTTTCCCACAGACCCAGGGATGATAGCCATCTCAGTCACTCTCAGTGCATGTCACATACCGTGCTTGTGGGGGTGGCACTAGATCTACCACCCAAAGACACTGAAGCAGAGACAATCCACCTCATTGCAACTTGCACAAAAGGGAAACTAAAGAAGGGGAGCTTGTGTTGGCAGTGTGCCGTCCGAGTGCTGAAGGTCTGCTTTAGCAGAAGTCTGGCTGGCTGGTGAAGGAAAGGGATTATTGCTCTCCTGTGATGAACTTGTGAGGACGTGACTGGAGTAGCGTGGCAAGGGCCCAGCACTGCAAGAGAGAGGATTATGGACTGGAGAGAGTCTTCTGAAGGACACTGGACGTGATCACAGCAATGATGTTTATGACATGAGGAGAAGCAAAGGGAAATACCTTTGTTTAAAGGCTAATGAGGGAACTCTCAGTGCATAAAGAGAAGCTATAAAGAAGACAAACTCTTCTCAGAGGCAAATAGCAAAAGAGTATGAAGCAATGGACACAATGTGCAGCAGAGGAAATTCTGTTTTGACACAAAGAAAAATTTTTCCCCCAAGATGGTGCAGCACTGGGACAGCTGCCCAAAGAGGCTGTGGGACCTTATCTTGGATATTTCTAAACTCAAATGGACAAGGTCCTCAGTCACCTGATCTAACTTTGATGTTGCCTTCTTTGACTTGGAGATTGTAGTATATGATTTTTCTAAAGATCCCTTCAAAGTTTGTTTTTTTCCATCTGTGATTCTTCTGTATTGATAGACATACCTTGAGAACTGTATTGAAAACTCATTCCACCTCAGTGAATATAGCTGAAAACTCTATGAAACACTAAGCTTTGGTAGGAAAAAGCAGAAATTCCTGAGTTTTGCAACCATTCCTGTTCATATTCCAGGCAGTTGCTGTCAAATGATGATAAGAAGGGCTGAATATATTAAGAAATGAGGTTATGGGAGATAGAAGGAATGTTGGGGACTGGTCTAACTTCCTTGAAACAGGGCCCCATGCTTCAGGTTGAGGAAAAAATTGCAACAGAAGATTTGAATTCATGTACTCTTGCCTAACTTGCCATTTTGTTTTTCCTAGCATTTGTCGACGTGGCACCTGGATCTGCAGCAATGGGGAATGCCCAGGTATGTTGGCTTGAGTCTTTTCAGGTTTTGACAAGCAAGCCTTCCCTACCTTCCTCCCACTTACATCCTACTTATACTTTTTTTCTATACAAAAAGTGAATGTCTTTGTTCTTACTTGCTTGCTCCAGTTCAATCTAGATGGGATCATACTCCTAAGTTCTTCTCATGAAACAAGTTAGACATTGTGCTGTGTGGTTTATGTGTAGCAATGAAAAATCCTATGGTTCCTCTTTTGATTACTTAGTTTACCAAGATATAAGGGTCCATATGTTCAGAGGCTTTCAGGTAGAGGTACATTCCTGCATTTCTTTGATCATAAACAATTCCTTATCTGATTGTCTGAATCAGCATACTTTTGTTGATGGGACAATTTGAAGTGCTGGGAGTAGATTGGATCACTCAATACCCCATGGGTTGGGGCCCTAATGGTCATGTTACAGGTGAAGGAGCTACCGCCCCAGGGAGGAGGTGGTCTCCCTGCCTTCCATGGGTGGTAGCAGTCTGGAGAGGCAGGTCTGCAGCTGCTCTTGCTCCTCTTCCTCCTGCTCCACCTCCCAAACTCACTGGTACTGATGGCTGCTGCCCCAGTTTTTTGCCTGCATGGACATTGTGACCTTTCATGCTGTGCACTGACCAGCAAAGTGCTGCCTTCCTTACTTCCTCCTGCTAGTTCTATGGCCCATCCCCTGCCTCAGTTCCTGAACTGTGTTCAGCCATGGAAGGGCCTGCTTGACCTGAAACAGCACCTAACTCTGCTTGCATTGTGTATAAAGTCTGCGGGGAGACAGGATGGCTCTTTATCTTGTTTGTTCTTGCTTTTGGGAACTGAGAGTGGAAGGGTAAGAAGAGACCGGGGTTATGTCTGGACAGGAAAAGAAGAGATTTCGTGGGTTTGGTGGTTATGTTTTGTTAAGATGAGAGTGTGCAATCCTCACAAATTAGGAGAATTGCAACAGTCTTGAAATGCTCTTCCAAAAAGTCTTGTTATTAACAGTGAGCTTGCCTGACCAATCAATGCTCTATTTCCTCCTACTTTAGACTGAAAGAGCACTTGCCCCAAAGCATCTGCAGTTGAAAAAAAAACAACAGGGAAGGGAGGGTTATGCAAATGTTCAAAACAGAGATGACATTTTTAGTGAGCTATGCCAAGCAGGACTGTGAGAAACCCTGTGCTTGAGGTGTTCCCTAGAGAGCTCTCCAAGTGCAGGGAATCTCCCTGTCAAACACACAGCATCAAGGACAGTCCCAGCTGATTTGTGATGTCTTTTAGCTAATGGGCAATAACATGATTAGAAACAAGAAATAGGTATTTGTTTAACTTGAGTTTTTACTTAGGTTATAGCTTTTAATGTCCTTGCTTTTGGGGCTGCAATGAATGGGCCAAAGTTTTATCTGTGACTCCAGCCATGTTTTCTTCACAGTGATTATAGAAATGAAGATTAACCTGGTATTGAGGCTTGCAAACAGATATTGATATACAGTTCTGTGCAAGAGGGAATATAGAATTGTTTCCTTTTTCTGAATTGGGAAGCTGTCCCAAATGAACAGAAGTGGAAAAGAAAGGCAGCTTATTTTTGTACCTTGTGTCAATATATCCAAGTTACTTTTCTCCTAATCTTGTGCAAGACTGAAGGTAGTAGAAGTGCAGCTGTTGTATATGTGCCTGCTAACATCTATAAATTCTGCTGAGACAGTATGGGAGGGCAGCAAAGCCTCCCAAAGTAGTAGTCTTTGGGAGGAACAGTTGCCAAGTTTATATTGTTACCTGTGCTGTTTACCTCTATTTGAAGCAATATCACAGCATATTTTTATTGTTGGTTGGTTACCACAAATATTTCTAAAATCATGTGTCCAGAAAGTTCGTGTACTTAGACTCGTATAAACTCTTAGTAGTCCCATTATTTTGCTACCAACCTGTTTGTCAGGAGAGGTTTCTTACACATTGTGGGAATGAATTGCCCAGCTCTAAGTCTGGTGATAAAACTGGGTCCCCAGCTGGAGGGAGGGCAGTGTCAGCCAACTGGCAGGAACTGGCAAGCACTAGCAAGAAGCTCTCAAGCTGAAATCATAATTGAAATAATTATGAAGGCAGTAGGTTTCAGGAAATTTCATGGCATGCATTACACCAAATGGAGTAGGCAGAGGGACCCATAAGAGGAGACTTTGCCACAGGAAAGAAATGTCCCTACCAGGAGCAATGCCAGAGGGCTGGGACTTGTCTTGGATAGCAGTCCCTAGCTCTTCAGGCTGCAAACCTGTCCTCTTGGCTCCTAGTTGCAGAGAATGCCCTGGAAATCAAACTCTGTGTAATATGATAGGTTATGCCTAGTTTTCTTTAAATTTGTGCTCCAGATCTGATAGCCGACTCTGAAGATGAGTAGAATAACACTTGTTTTACCTCTTTAGGTAAATGAGGGTAATTGAACAGAATTTCCAGGGTGAGCTAGTAAATACCAAGCTGCCTTACTCTCCAGGGAATGGCAGACCTCCAGGGGGTACTGGACTTCTCTTAGGGCAAATCAGAGTTGTGCAAGGCTGAGGATCCTCAGGATCTGTGATGTTATGTTTTAGCACAGGCTGGTTTAAGACGGTTAACACTGAATAATATGTTGAAGAGGGAAATTTCCACTTGGTGTTCATTAAGCAGATCTTATGTGGGACTCATGGGGTTCACCTTCCAGCTTGTAACATTTAACTTTTCTCCATCCTCTGTCAGGGCATTGCCAATGTAGGCCCTGCACTTTTTGTTCTGGGCAAGGAAGTGGTTGTTCATCTCATTTGCCATGGGATCATCTCTAAGTGTGACGGTCTTCTCATAGGAAAGATTTTCTGTGCAAGCTTTGTAGAGTTGGAGCCTCCCTGTGTGTTTGCATAACTGGGTGTAATACTGCCTTCCTGGAAATGAAAAGCCACAATTTACCAAAACAATTAAAAATGTTGATATGTTTAAATAGCCTCTTTTTGTAGTAGAAGGGTGGGTAAGCCAGACTTTCACACAAGTCTGAAAGGACTTCACATATAGCTATTGTAACTATAAGATTATTTTTAACTTTATGCTAGTTAATTGGGATAATGGTTCAGAGTCAAGTCCAACAGAAATTATCTTCCAGCTCTTCGTAAGATATTTTCACTTCAATGTTAGAGTAACTTAATAGTATTCAAAGCAGCCCAACAAAGGAATCAACACTTTTGGGGGGCTGTGTGTGGAAAAAGCTTTCAGACACTGTTGCCTTTATAAAATCATACTGCAATCCTCTAAAACCATGAGTAAAGAGAGGGAGGGAGCTCACAACTGGGCAAGACACAAGTGTGAAACACAGACTGAGAATGAGACACCCATGTCATGCAGTGAGAGTCCAACCAGTCTTGTTAAAAATTTTGATTTTCAGCTCTGTAGAGATACCTGCACTCTGCAGCCAGCTCCATGGATCCAGGTGTGCCCCACTGGGTTAAGTAAAATTGGATTTAAAGTGTGTTATGTCAAGATGTTGCAAGCTCCTGCATAGGGATAAAGAGGCAGCATGTCCCACTGTATGGAGTGTGTGACTCATGCTGGATAATCCTGAGTGTCTTTCCCAGCTTTGCCAGGCTTAGGCATTAGTACTTCCACTCTCTGTGCCTCAGTTTCCCCATTGTATAAAGAGGGAAACTTAGTTCTTACATAACAGAGAGCGTGGGTTGCTGTTTAAAATTGTTTAGTGCCTCCAGCACCTACCTCAGGTATTGGGTATGACCTAGCCTGCCAAGAACTTGGGTGACCGTGATCAATTTCCAGGGCGTTTTTCACTGATGTTCTCATGACCATCCATTTGAAGCATTGCATAGGCTTTTCCATAGGCACAAATTTCAGCTCTGGAGTGTGATTTATGCCATATTCCCCAGCTGCTGTTGGTGCCTCTGTTGCTACTGGTAATGCTTGACAGGAATAAACAGGAAGACAACCATCTTGCTGGGGCTTTCTGGTCTGCAGGGAGCTTGGGCCTTGTGCAACCTTCTCCACCAGGCTGCTCTGCAGTGACTTAGTGGGGACAGGCAGGATTTTCCTTACTACTGTCACTGGGGTGATTAATGTCACTTTGCCTTTTCCAGGAGAATGCTCTGTCACCGGCCAGTCCCATTTCAAAAGCTTTGACAACAAGTATTTCACCTTCAGCGGGATTTGTCAGTATTTATTTGCCAAGGACTGTGTGGAAAATTCCTTTTCTGTGATCATCGAGACAGTGCAGGTAATAGCAGCCTTGGCTGGTGCCTCTGCATATGCTCTTGAGAGAGTGGGAAGGGCTGTGGGAGTATGAAATGAATTGCAGACACACAGGCCAACAGAAGTAATTCCCCTACGAAATAATTAGTTTAAATAACAGATGCAGTCTTTCTCCTTAGTTAATAAGTGTTTGCTTCTCCTCACTGCCATTCCCAGGAGCCAGCCTGGAGATGGAGGTTTGTAATGAGGTTTGGAGAACAGGCACTCACCACCTCTTTGCCAGCTGAGCAAACAAACGAAGGCGACGGTGCACCCCTTGCAAAACACCCTGAGTGCTGGTGCCTCTAGTGCCCATGGGGAAAGGACATTTCCTCAGACCCTGGTGAAGGGTGCATTGCCAGAGCAGTACCTTGAGTTCCTTCCTGTTATGTTGTATAAGCTGAAGTCATAAGCTGGTGATTTTTGTTGCTCACTAGCCAGTCAGCAGCTCCTGATTTTCTTCACCATCTCCCCTGATGGATGTGTGAGAGGCAGTGGAAACTGCCAGAGAGAGGCAGAAAAGGGAGTCAGGCCAGTGCGGGAAGAGATGGAGACCCTAGGGGGGATGTCACAGGGAGGTGAACACAGTGCTGAAATTAATCAACCAGTTGCACTTGGGAATAGGTGAACAAACCCAGTAGGAAGGTGATTTGGATGGTGGAACTGAAGGAGGGGAGAGGTGTGATGGAGTCAGGAGACTGGCAGGAGAGAAGGGGAGTGTCAGCCTGTTATGCAGGACGTAAGCAACAGAGAATTTCAGGCTTTTGGTGACATGGGCTGTGACAGTTCTGTGCACCATCTATGTCTGTATCCTGCATTAGAAAGCTCTGTTAGTGCAGCTCTGAGGTCATCTGTGCTTGGGAACTTGCAGAACGGGTTTGCACTGAAACTTCCTTTTGGAAACCAGGGAGGAGAGCTGGGGCCCTGCAAGCCTTGTTTCTCATCCGTGTAACCCACAGCCAGGAAAGCAAATACCTCATGAGACTCGGGTAGTGTGAACTGTCTTGCTGTTCCCCAGGCTGATGGGCTGTGTGGGTGCTTCCTGCCCCTACCACAGCTAGGAATCTGGCCACAGGTCACTGCCATGGGCCACCCTCAGGGGCCGGTGTAACACCCCCAGATTGCTTTCCAGGCTCTGAGTCAGGGAGCTCCCTGGCGTGTGATTAGCAGGATAATGGAGAGAAGGCTGCCAGCCTGGTGTTTGTGGGATGCAGATACTAGATCCATAAACCCATTGTGACACTCAACACCTCCCAAATTAGATGCTGAAATGCCTTCTGAGGACCTGGGGCTAAGTCAGCAATAAAGTGAAAGCTTGAGGTTCAAGGCAGGTTATCCGTTCTCTGTAGTGTGCAGATGATCTTGATGCCGTGTGCACTCGCTCAGCTTCTGTCCGGATCCGGGATATGGACAACAGCATCATTAAAATGAAACATGGAGGAGGAGTTTCACTGAATGGACAAGACATACAGATCCCTCTGCTGCAAGGTGTGTTCATATGGGCTAGTTCTGATCAGACACTGAAGGGGTCCTGCTTACTGGTGTTTTCTGGCATACCTTAGCCCAGTTCAATCAAAAGTGTTTTCAATGCCAAATTCTCACTTGCAGTCTCTTGTAGACACTGTCATTTCAGATTCTTTCCAAGCAGCTGACACATCTTAGCTCCTTTAAAATCAGGAGAATTAAGGTGGTGTGCACGTGTGAGATTTGTGAAAATCACCATTGGTCTATTCTTTTTGAAATTATTATTTTTTTATCCAGAAGCTTGAAATCATGAAGTCACAGAATGGTTTGGATTGGAAGGGACCTTAAAGACCTGCTAGTTCCAACCCCTCTGACCATGGACAGGGACTCTTCCTGCTAGACCAGGTTGCTCCAAGCCCCCATCCAACCTGGTCTTGAACAATTCCAGGGATAGGGCATCCACAGCTTCTCTGGGCAACCTGTGCCAGTGCCTCACCACCCTCACAGGGAAGAATTTCTTCCTAATATCTTATCTAAACCTACTCTGTTTCACTTTGAAGCCATTCTCTCTCATCCTGTCCCTATGTCGTCCAAGATGTCAGCGTTAATGCCTGAGGTTTTGCAGAACGCACATATATCCTCTTCTAGGGCCTCTGAGTGCCTTCAAGTAGAGCCTGTGGACAAGTTCATGCAGATATAAACTGCTGAGCAGGCACGAAATTTGGGAAATGTGAAGTGGGCATTTCTGGCACCCCTAGCTTTGGCAGACCTGTGCTCTATGTTCAGACCCAAGCTCTGTGGCAGCTGCTCTGTTGGTCCATTCAGCAGG